AGTTTTATTAGGCTTATAAAACCGGGGAGCAAGCGGCTATAAATTCATTATCATCAACTAAGAACACACGAAACTTCTCAAAACAATGGCAACACCAAGCACAGATTCATCCTCACACAGCAACCTTAGCATTAGCCGTAACCAGTCCTCATCTTCTTTGGGTTCCACCAGTCACAAACCTCACAAAGGAAACCATCCTGCTTGGGCACCCATTGACCAACTCTTATCGGAACACGGCCAAGTCGAAATCCAACACTTCAAGCTCTTGCATCGAGTAGGCGGTGGCGGTATGGGAAATGTATATATTTGTGAGATTAACAACACCACCATCGAATCCAACCATCATCATTCTCACTGCCTTTATGCTATGAAAGTGGTCGATAGGGATGAACTCAAAGCTAAAAAAAAGTTACATAGACATGAATCGGGGAGAAACATTCTGGGAATGCTCGATCATCCTTTCCTTCCGACATTATACGCTGAGTTCGATTTTTTCCAATACTCATGTCTGGTCATAGATTACTGTCCCGGAGGCGACCTGCTCACTCTTATGCAACGCCAACCCGATACCAGATTTCCTCTCTCGTCTGCTAAGTAAGTCGAACTCCAACCATAACCTAGTTGGATCATGTAGTCGCATTTTTACGTGTTTTTTTTTTTAAACGATATAGAATCGGTGGTGTTGCAGATTCTATGCCGCTGAGGTGCTTGCAGCATTGGAATATCTTCACATGATGGGTGTAATTTATCGTGATTTGAAGCCTGAAAACGTGCTTGTTCGAGAAGACGGTCATATTATGCTCACGGACTTCGATCTCTCCCTTAAATGCGACGTTTCACCAAAACTTTTGAAATGTAATGCCAGTAGTATCATGGACAAGTACTACCGTGCTACTCTCATTTATCATTTCCTAACAAGAAAAACAAGATGAAAGCTTCTTCTTCTTCCTCTCCGAATGCTAAAGCGATACTACTAGCGGATATTCAGAAACCGGATGTCCAATTATGGGCCGAGCCGACCGATTGTCGATCGGATTCGTTTGTCGGCACACGAGAGTATCTAGCTCCGGAGGTGATAAGGGGATCAGGCCATGGGAATGGTGTAGATTGGTGGGCATTTGGGGTGTTCTTGTACGAACTCTTGTATGGTAAGACCCCTTTTGAAGGTGAATGTGGGGGTACAACTATGACAAACATCCTTGAGAAACCTGTAACTTTTCCGAGGATTTGTAGCGGTTATGGTAGGGGCCATTGTGAGGAAGTGGGGAAGGCACGTGATTTGATAAGGAAGCTACTGGTGAAAGATCCAAACAAGAGAATGGGAAGTTTGTGGGGTGCTGTTGAAATCAAGAGGCATGGGTTTTTCAAAGGCGTGGATTGGGCTGTAATTAGATCACTTAAGCCCCCACAAATCAAACATCCAACTGAAAGTTGAGTTCAGTAGACTAGAGGCCAAGTTGCTTTAAACCTAATTGTTGTCAAGTAATGGTGGTTGTACCTATAATCAAAGCTTAGACATGTACTTTTGTATAAAACATACAACTATTGCTGCCTTTGTACCAAGTTTGAATTCCTCAACGGGACAAGGAAAGTAGAAGCAACGAACAAATGACAAGATGCTGGGAAAGGGAAAGCATGTTGTAATTTTCAAAGGAAACTTCCCCTTTATTATCTTTTATAATGAACATACTTCTGCAAGAAAAAGAAAGAAAGAAACCGTTTAAATATAAATGCAATAAGTTATTAAATTTTAAATAAAAATGACATCCGTATTAAGACGTTTTGTTATATTGTTATCATGTTTATTACTTTCTTATAGTTTAAAGTGTACTAATCATGTTTAGTTATTTTTAAGAAAATTAAGTTTAAAAATTATATTAATAGTAAAATATATAAATTTAAATTTCATTATGCATAGTTTTTTTTAAATTTAACACTGTTTGAAATTATTTTAGTATAACTTAGATGTGTTACCGTCATTAATTGGGTATAGTAAAAGATTCATCATGGTGAACAAGGAAATAAATGGGTTAAAAGGAAGGGCACGTGATGTCGGGTCATATTAATTCCCCCAAGTGAGGCTTGGGCTCCGATTATCATAGTGTTGAGACCGGACAACCAAATTAAGTGGGCTTCATGCACCCGATAGCATAAAGTTGGGTCTGACTTCCCTTCAATCGAACTTTAATGAATTTTTAAATAAGATTAATTCAACAAGTGTAATAACGAACGGAATATTATTTTTTTCAAGGGTTATGAGTTCGAGTAATTACGTATACAGAGTGTGTAGGTTAAAAAAATTATAAACATATACTACCTTATAATCACATTCTAGATCAATAAAATTTATGACTTGAACGTTCACAATTTTTTTTTACCCATAGAAACTGTAAGTTATTAAAAAAGAAAAAAAACTTTAGAGGAGAGCTTTAGCTCTGATTTGCTTGAAGTATACTTAAAATGGTTGTCCCTGTATAATAGCGGTACATGCTAACGGGAGTCTAACATATCGGCCCCTAATGTTGTGTATTTAAATCTCTCTTTTCCAGATTTTTTATATGTCAACCATGTCGGCATTCGACTCCACTTTTAATTTCTCTAGTGGTCAAAAGATTAATTAAAAACATTATATATATATATATATAATTATTTCAAAATGGAAAAAATGTTAAACGTTTTATTTTTACAATTTAAAAATAAGTAAAGAAAAGGTGTGTTTAACGTAATGAATACACACACAAACAGAAAGTAGATCAAAATGAAGAAAAGGGGAGGGAGGGAATACATCCCCCTAATAATGAGGATGAAATTGGGTGGTGCATGGGAACGTGATTATTCCCAAGGCGAATCGAATCATGCACCACTTCGCTTTACCGTTTGCTCCTTTACCCTTCTTCAAGAGAATGGACGACACTTGTTATTGTCACTCCCCACCCTTCTTGTTAAAAAAATGGTTTTGGAAACAGAAAACAAATGCCTAAGTTTAATATTCATTGTAATTTCAGATTTAATCACACTTTTATGAATATCAACAGCAGAGCAAAATTTACATAACATTCATTATATTTCTAACCATAATAAATAATGAGAAACAAAATCACGTTGAAAGCCCAATACACAATAAAGAAAAGTGGTTTTGCAACATAAAAGAAGAAAAGCAGGCGCAGAAAAGAGAGAAAAAAGAAAAGAAAAGATGGTCAAAATGAAAACCTCGAAGAACATCAATATCATCCATCACCTTCCAACCTATCTTTGTCGAAACTCACCATTCATCTTCTCTTTTTTCATTTGCCTTTCTTTTTCTTTTCCTAATTTTCTCCTCTAAAAAATCACTGTTATAATCAAAATATGTGCCTGCATGAATTGTATTCCATCCAGCTGCTTCTTTTTCTGATGTTCCACACGACTCATCGATCAAAATGTAACGAAACTTGAAAAAAAAACCCTAATCACGTTATTTAAAGCTTAGCTTTTTTAAAAATCTATTTTCCCAAATTTCAATAGTAAATAAAAAAAATCAACCTTAAAATTTTTTTCATGCATGGAACAAATCAATGACTAAAACTTAAATCAAGAAAGGATGAACATAATTCATGAAAGAAATAAAGCAACCCTCTTTAATAACCGGCGCACACACAAAACCAAAAGACTAAAGCTACTTGCTCTTTAAACCCAGATGCTCAAATGGAGCTTTAAGTACAAAAAAGGAGAATATTCAAATATATATGTAAAGCAACAACAATTTTACTCATATTTTGTTGACTGTAGATTCTTCAAAGTATAATTGAAAGAGACATGAGCTAAATAAATGAGATCTTAGATGGCCCTTGCATTGCCTAGGTTTCATTCTTCATAATATTCCTTAAAATGCCAACGAATGCTTCTTACAATTCTTTGACCGTGAAATGAACGTTGAATACGTATACTTGATTGAACAGCAATTTTGGATTAGATATGGTTTAGTTATAGGGTGACAGGATCTCCTGTTTGCTTTTTAGGTGGGATCCTCCATTTGTTGGGGGTGCTGCCATGCCCTACATGCCTCTTCCTCCACCCGAATCAACACCGTCGCTATCTCCATTGAGTTTGAGTGTTTGACTGTAACACATTATATATAGTATTCCAATGTCACCAATAGAAAGATTCTTTTAAGTCAAAGTATTCCATCTCCTTTACCACGGCGTGAGCGCATGCATATTTGTAAATTCAAAGAATTGAACTTGAATTTCATTTAATATATAAATTAACGGTGATATTTTTTAAATTATCTTTTATATTTATGTGACATTATAGTTAGTATTATTGTTAATTTTTTAATCGAGGATGATTAAATAGGTACCACTAATTAAAATGTTTAATTTGAATTCTATGAATAAAGTAATATATTTAATCTCTAACTCAGTTCTCAATATAATTGAAGTATAAATAATTTGATAGTTACCACTTTAACCGTTTTGGAGAATCGTTGTTGATTGAAAATTCTCATAACATTACAACAGAATAGATTTGTAGAGGTGGTTTTAGCGACGTTTTTAGAGAAAACGCCGTTAATTTTTTACATGTAACGGCGTTTATAGACAAATGATGTGATATCCTTATAAATAGTGGTGTTTTTGGGAGCCGCTACAAACACGTACTTTTATGGCATTTATGTAAAAAATGCCACGAAAGCCATATATATAGTGGCGCTTTTTGTGAAAACTCTGCTAAAAATGCATACTTATGTGGCGTTTATGTAAAAAAAATCGCGATAACAAGATATATAGTGACGTTTTTGTGAAAACATCGTTAAACACACGTACTTTAGTGTCGTTTATATAAAAAAAAGCCGCGATAGCCCAATATATACTGGCTTTTGTGTAAAAAAAGCTGCTATAAATGCATAGCCAATAGAAACCCTCCCAACTCGGGTTTTAAGAACTCACACACTATTGTCAAAGTTTTCTCTTTGCCTCCTCTATTTTAGGGTTTTTGCGACGTTAGGAGCATCATAGCAGTGATTCCCAAAGATCAAAATTCGCGAACTTAAGGAAGACTACGCGAAGTTCGAGCTTCGCGACACCGACGCCTTCATAGCCAACGCGCTCTACCGCGTTATGATCGCTGAGGTCCCCACCATCGCAATCGACCTCATCAAATTCAAAGGCAACTCATCCATCCTCAACGACCAGTTGATTGCCCATCAGCTCAGCCTCATTCCACTCACCAGCGAGCGCGCCATGTCGATGCAATTCTCCCGTGACTGCGATGCATGCGACAGTGACGGGCAGTTTGAGTTCTGCTCCGTCGAGTTCCATCTTCGTGCCAAATGCATGAACGATCAGACCCTCGATGTCACTAGCAACGATCTCTACAGTTATGATCATATGGTTGTTCCCGTTAATTTTACTGATTCTGCTGGCTACAATTTTTCTAAGCAAAGGTATTTAGGGTTAAAATTTAGTGAGGTGCTTCTAATTTTATAGGGATGTTCTGAACCCGAGATTCATAGTGAAACTGCGGCGCGGGCAAGGGTTGAGGCTAGGGGCAATTACAAGGAAAAGGATAAGGAAAGATCATGTAAAATGGTCACCTGCTGGGCAAAATCAACGAGATAGTGCGTTGAAATTTTTTTTTTCACGAGATAGTGGGATCGCCAGATTAATTGCTCAGGTGGTGTCCTCTACAGTCCCGGGGGTAGGTCGCCATGCACGCCCGGCGACCTACCAGGTTACACGCCCAGCGACCTGGTAGGTCGCCATGCATGCCCTGCGACCTACCAACCAACGACCTCCATGCCCATGCACGCCCAACGACCTCCATGCACGCCCATGCATGCCCAACGACCTCCATGCACGCCCATCTCGCCAAAGGTCACCATGCAATGCACGTTCAGCTCGCCAAAGGTCACCATGCAGTCCATGCTTGGACTGAACAATGTTGGTGGTTTAGACATGGCCCTGGGCGAGGTTGGAGTCTCTGCAGGGCAACGTGGCATGCGTCTGGACGACCTATGCCTTTGCCCCACTTTGCTGCCTCTGCGTCTCTGGTCCCATGCAGCGTGAAATCAGCTGCATTATTGCAGCAACATGGGCGTGAAATCAACTGCATTATTGCAGCACTTATTGCTGCATTATTGCAGCCCGTGAACGTGAATCGGCCACCTATAATTGAAGCAATACCGGTTGTTGTATTATATATTGGATGGATGGCAATTAAGAGAGAAAGAAAGGGAGAAAATAGCAAAGGAGAAGATAGCAGAGAAAAGAGGAGGAAGAAAAAAGGGAGAGCACAACATCGAGGTAAGTTTTTTTTTAATTATTTTAATTAGTTTATTATTTTAAATTATTAGTTTGTTAGTTTATGGTTTAAGTTAAAACAAAATTTTAGTTTGTTTGTTTGATGGTTATATATTAAAAAAATAATTAATTAGTGTGTTAGTTAGTCTAATATTTAATTAGTTTGTAGTTAGTTAAATAGTTAAGTTATATTTTGGTTGTTGAATTTATATTATATAAAAAATTAGTTTATAGTAGTTTAAGTTTTATTATAATAAAAAAGTTTATTAGTTAAGTTATAAAAGAATAATTATTTAAATTAGTTTATTGTTATAAATATTAGTTAATTAGTTTATTATTATAATTAGGGTAAAACAAAAAATTAGTTAATTAGTTTGTTAGTTTAAGTTATATTATTGTTAGTTTAAGTTATATCATATAGAAATAAAAAATTATGTAATTAGCATGTTTGATAGTTACATATAATAAAAATTTAGTTAGTTTGTTAGTCGTTAGTTATATATAAAAATATGTAATTAGTTTGTGTTAGTTAAATAGTTAAGTTATATTGTTTGTTGAATTTATTATATAAAAAAATTAGTTAATTAGTTTTTTAGTAGTAAATTATAATTAAAAATCATTTATTAGTTTAATTTATATTAAAGAATAGTTTATTAGTTGTTTAAGGGAAAATTTACGTTTAATTTATTTTAAAAAGTTTAGTTTGTTAGTTTATTAGTTTAATATATTATAAGTTATTATATTAAATTTTTTTGTTGTGTTGTAAAATAGTTAGTTAGTTAGATTATATTAGTTACATTAAATGAATTTTTAAATATTGTTGTTTACTTTGTACAGATTCATTCTAATGGCTGACCAAATTCCACTGCTGAGACTTGAAAATGAACATATTTCAAGTCATTTGGGAATAATGGTGAATAAAATATTTGTTTAATGAATTATAATTAATAAATATTTGAATATTATTTTGTGATTGTGATAAATCTTTTGAAATATTTAATTGCAAGAGGACGAGCAACGAGTCCTTCGTCATCGGCTACATAAAGTGCCCAAGCCACATAGATTGATAGAAGAAAACTTGCAGGAGGCTGGATTTTGGTATGTAACATTTGTGCGAGATTACAAGTTGGTCCCAGGTTTGATCAGTGCCTTGATTGAGCGTTGGAGACCAGAAACGCACACGTTTCATTTGCCGTGTGGCGAATGTACCATAACTCTGGAGGATGTGGCATTGCAGCTCGGGGTCCAAACAAATGGGATGCCAGTGGTAATGTCACATGAGTTTAATAATGTGGCACAACTTTGTAGCTTGTTTCTTGGGAAAACGCCCGTACCACCAGAGTGTAAAGGGTGGCGTGTGAGGTTGTCATGGTTGAAGAATGAATTTCAGCTTCAACCAAATAGTACGGAGCACGAAATTATATATGCAACACGAGCATATATTACAGTTGATTGGGGGTATTTTAATGCCGGATAAATCCGGTAGTTATGTTCACACTCAATATCTTCTTTTTTAAGAAATTTTGAGAATAGTAGGCAATATAGCTGGGGATCGGCGATTGGCGTTCTTGTATCGTGAGATGTGCAAGGCGTCATTAGTCGTGAATGATAATAATACAGCAGAAATCGGTGGATGTCTGTTGCTGCTACAGTCATGGGCTTGGCATAGACTTCCGTTTTTGACACCGATTAGTCGGACTGCGGTTGACTTTCCGCTTGCCGGAAGGTAATATGAATTCTCTATTTTAATATAAAATATTAATTATAAAATAAAAATGACCATATTTTATATTGATTGATATACAGATGGAGGCATAAAATTGAAGGCACGGGGTTGGTGCACAACAACATTAAAGAGTTCAGGCTGAAGATCGACATTAAGGCAAAAAAGGAGGTATGTATAATCTGTTATTTTTAATTATTATTTAAATTAACTATATTATTGATTTAAATAAATTTTATTGTTTTTGTAATTTTACAGTTTAATTGGAGACCATACATGAATGGAGAAATACTTGCGTTGATACCGCACGATATTTTAGATGGGTTTCAATATTGGTGTGCTGTTACACCATTGATCAATTTTGCGTTTGTTGAGATCCAATTTGGGGATAGAGTGTTGAGGCAATTCCACTTCCACCAACCTATTCCGCGGAGTCCATGGGATCATGACCTCCTCCAAATCTTAGATGGTCGTCGTCAGGTGAATTGGGTTGAGACGCATGACCAGCTGCACAGATTTGATGGTCGTCGTAAAGAAAATGTTAATTGGTTGAGAATCATGCAATCTACATTAATGCTTGGAACAATAGGGCTTCATTCATGCCAATTCTTGACGACATTCAAGACGACGACTTTAATTTTGAGACTTCGGCTTACCTTGCTTATTTTTTGGATAATGGAAAGCCATTCTTGACAACAATTGTAGAGAGGCGACAATTTTTGAGGTTTAAGAAAAGATTTGGTAAAGCTGAATACTCTCTACCAAGTGGGAGTGGGGGTTCATCTCAACAACCTGAAGCGGAAATGACCGATGTGGATAATAGCGCACCACAACCGTTCGGCGATGCATACATACCAGAGTTTGTGCAGCCTGATGCATCCATCTACTCTCCCATGTTTTCGTCGACGTATGACTTTGAACACATGTCAGTTCAAATGCCCCCAACGAATGAGGAGGATGGGTACCATACTCCTGAGCAACCGCAACGGCCACAACGCATCAGACGTCCGCCCCAACATTATCATTCAACAACACCCCGACATCGGCAACAATTGTAAACTAGTTTGTTATTTGTTACAAATTTAATATTGACATTAGACTAGTTTTTTCAAACATTAACAAATTCGACATATTTATAATGATTTTTAGTATCAAATCATTATTATAATTTCATTACTAGTTATGTAACGAAAATATGGTTAATTGAACCAAACATTGTTCATTGTTCAAGTCGTAAATCATTACTATCAAATCATTACTAAATCATTAATATCAAATCATTAAATAATAAATTATTATTACTAATCATTACTATCAAATCATTAAAAATTAATAATAATTTCATTATTACTAATCATTACTAAATCATTACTATCAAATCATACATAATTAATAATAATTTCATTATTACTAATCATTAGTAAATCATTACTATCAAATCATTAAAAATTAATAATATTTCATTATTACTAATCATTACTAAATCATTAATATCAAATCATTAAAAATTAATAATAATTTCATTATTACTAATCATTACTAAATCATTACTATCAAATCATACATAATTAATAATAATTTCATTATTACTAATCATTACTATCAAATTACTATTAAATCATTAATATTAATAATAATTTCATCATTACTAATCATTACTAAATCTTTAAATACATAGAAATTCATAGAAATACATATATCATTACTAATGATGAGGCCTATATCTTGGTAAATTAGGACAATTGTTTTTTGAATGGCCTTCACCCCTACATAATCCGCATCTCTTTGTTTGACCTCTCTCTCTAGCATGGAAATCCATACTGGTATGAATACGAGTGGACTCAGGTCGACCCTTTGGACTTCTGCGAAGCATTGGATTTGGCAGCCATTCGTCATGATCTTTTCTGAGCCAATATGATTCATTCGGTATCTGTCTGAACTCATAGCTGTAGACATTTAATATCCTACTTAAGTGAAAGCACTCATCAACATAAGTGTATGTGCTTACACCAGCATACATACATGCTGCGACTGCATGAGCACATGGATATTTCCATGCCTGAAAACGACCACAATCACACCATTTATGTCGTAAATCAACTCTAAATGTTTGGTCTTCTCCTCCGACGTTACGGCGTATGCACGACGACAAAAGTATGACCAACTCGGTCGAAATTATGAACAACCATTGATGTTGCCAATCGCTCATTTGCTTCCATTGATTCCACCACTGTAGGAGCCCAAGTTTTACCTCTATTTATAAGACTCTCTATTTCTTTGCCTTTGTCCGACCAAACTTTACCCAATCTAAAGTACGTCTCTTTCATCACACTCGCAATTGGGAGATGGCGTGTACCTTTTAGTACCGAATTAATGGCCTCAGCAAGGTTTGTGGTCATATGTCCGTATCTCCGACCTTCATCATATGCTTGTGACCATTTTTCCCGCGGTATTTTTGAAGCCCACTTCCAAACACGCTGATCATCGTAAAATACCTTCAAATTCTCCAATCTCTTATCAAAATTTGGTCGACGTAGTTCGTATCCTGTTTCATAATATACTGTGTTAAACCGCAATTAAAAAAACCATGTAAAAAATGCACAAATATTGAAAATAAAACTTACCCATGCTGACTATCTCGCTACGAATGTGTGCGTTATGAAATTGGTCGATACTATTCTTGCCAATATGACGGATACAATATGTCGGATATGCATACGGAGGTATCCAACGACTTCCTGGTCGTTCAATTGCCGCCAAAATACCAGTTCCTCTATCGGATATCAAGCAAACTCCATCTTCACGAACGACATATTGACGTAGATTGGTCAGAAAGAAATCCCAAGCCTCTGTTGTCTCTCCCTCAACAATGGCGAATGCAATTGGGAAGATATTTCGCTCACCATCTTGAGCAACTGCCATCAAAAGTACATGCCTATATTGACCATACAGCCACGTACCATCTACTTGGATCATACGTTTACAAAATGGAAATCCTTCAATACATGCCTTGAATGCCCAAAATAGTCTATGAAATATTTTCTTCCCTGGCAGAAGTTGACCTTCTTCGTCATATGCGGGCATGGTTTGAGACTTCATTATGGTTCCTGGGATAAATCGCTTCATTGCTTGTAGCAAATGTGGTAGCTCATTGTACGATGTATCCCAATCTCCATACGTCAGCTTCATTGCCTTCATCTTCGCATTCCACACCTTGCCATATTTTACTTGATATCCAAATTGGCTTCGAATAGATGCAGCTAACACTGAACAAGATATCCTTGGATCCTTTTCAACCATCGCCTTCACGTATTCACATATTACATCGGAGTCCAATAGTCGGTGGTCTTGTTCGATGAAGTTTCACAAACACGTGTGCGGACCATTGTACCTCGTGATGACCCAAACATCGTGCCTTTGATTTTTCGACACTCTGATCTTCCACTTGCACTCTAGGCCATATTTTACACACTTCGCGTATAGGGTTTTCTGGTTGGACTCTGCAACATGGATATCAACATTGCATTTTATGCAGTACTCTTTAATCGCCAGGTAGCTTCATTTTTTCCTCTGAATTGCACCCCAACTGAAAATTCACCAGAATTATCGAATGATGCAGTCATTTGGTATGGAGGTAAATGTGGCATGTCTGGGAATTCAGGTGCCCTCATCGCATCATAGTCTATCTCGTACATGTGAGGAGTAGCTTCATACGGTGCCGGAACTTCATCAATTGCAGCTCCACCAAAAATATTTTCGTCGCCGCCCAAAACGGGTTCTTCGGTTTCTTCATCTTCGCTTGAATCATCATGAATTTCTCCCCATCGATTTTCAGCGTCAATATCAACAACCAATTCCGGTATGTTTCTCGTCTCACACTCTTCTGTTGCAAATGTCCCCCCGACTTCATTTACACTTTCCAATAGTGCCATAAAACTGTTCGGGAACCTGTATGTCGGCTCCTCAAACTGACTATATAAAGTCATTTCAGATGGATTTTGAGCCACACCTCTTGATGACCCAGGAACATCACATATGTTATGCACATCAACAAATAACTCAATAACTGCTATATTGGTTAACTCAGTAATCGAACCATGGTTCCAATATCATCATCTTCTTCAAGTGGAACTGCAGCATATTTGACTGGGTTGGGGCATATCATAAACCTATACCTCAAACCATCAACTGCAACTCGAATTTTTCTTTCTATCTTATGCTTCATTTCTATAAATGTGATGTCTTTTTGAACATCATATTTATTGGTTTTTCAGACTGAAAAACTACTCCGATCTCATTTTCCATAATTTGTCCATTATAATGGACAATCGTGAAAAAGTTGTTGCTCATTTCCTTTCCTTTCCTTTCCTTTATTGTTTCTTTCTTCGAATCAATATGTACGTGGAAAAATGTTGTGGAATAATGCTCTGTACGTGTAAAAAAAAATATTTCTTTAAACAACAATAAATTAAAAAAATTAAATTTATATAATCTAATATATTATAATATAACTTAAACTAATAAACTATTTCTTTATTATAATATAATTAGTTAAAATAACAAACTAACAAACTAATTAAGCACTAATTAACTTTTTTAATATTTTAACTTAAACTTCAACAAACAACCTAATATACGTTTAAACACACTAACAAATTAATTAAATATTTTTTACATTTAATAACTTAAACTAAGAAACTAATTAACTAATTTTTATATAATCTAATATATAACTTAAACTAACAATTTAATATAATATAACTTAAACTAACAAACTAATAATTTATACTAACAAACTAATTAACTAAATTTCTGTTTATCCTAAACCCTAAACTAACAAACTAATTATTTCATAATTTCATATTAATAAACTAAATTAAACAATTAAAAATTACCTCACAAACGATGTTTGAGCCTTTATCTCCATTTCCTCTTCTTCTTATTTTCCTTTCATTTCCTTCTCTCTCGCCAAATTTTCTTTCTTTCTTATGATTCTACCCTAAACCCCTCATATCCAATATATAATGATATTTCAACGGTTGGTAGGTAAGCTGCAATCAATTTGAGCTGTATAATTCACGTTGAAAGCTGTAAATTTTTCAACCGTTGAACGCTGCAATAATACAACACAGCTGATTTTATGCTGCACCAATACAGCTATGATAACAAGAGTGAACAGTCTCGAAGCTATGGCATGAGGGACCAGCTATGGCTAGAAGCTAGGGCACGAATCTATGACACTTTGCAGCTCAAATCATGCTGCAATAATACAGCTATTACAGCTGCATGCATGAGTCTCCTGAGCAGATGTAAGAGGAATCACGCGAGGAGCAGGAGGAATAGGTTCTCCTGAGCAGCTGCAAGTGGAGAGGATTGTATGGCTACCTATCCTGCATGGCCCAACGTTGTTCAGTCCAAGCATGGACTGCATGGTGACCTTTGGCGAGCTGGGCGTGCATGGAGGTCGTTGGGCGTGCATGGAGGTCGTTGGGCGTGCCTGGGCGTGCATGGAGGTCGTTGGGCGTGCATAGGCGTGCATGGAGGTGCTGGTAGGTCATGGAGGTCGTTGGGCGTGCCTGGGCGTGCATGGAGGTGCTGGTAGGTCGCAGGGCATGCATGGCGACCTACCAGGTCGCTGGGCGTGCATGGCGACCTAGTAGGTCGCCGGACGTGCATGGCGACCTACCCCCGGGACTGTAGACCACACCACCTGAGCAATTAATCTGGCGATCCAACTATCTCGTGAAAAAAAAAATTTCAACGCATTATCTCGTTGATTTTGCCCACCTGCTGCAACTACGACTTTCATTTATAAACCCGAGATTCATATCAATGAATATATGATGGATACCTTGATGCTTGAGGAGAAGCAAAGCTTTATCGAGAGTAGTCCTACTAGAGTCTTTGACATTGATCCTAATACTCAACAGGTTCTCCTCTTGCTACATCATTATATTATCAAACTAGGTTACGGGCTGTTAAAGAAATTGTTTGGGAAAAATGAATTATTTTTCTACATCATCAAGGTCCTTTCTATGTTTGTATATTATCACACAAGCTTTATGATGGGTTTCTGACATGGCCGGCTCTGGGAAGGTACCCACCACTCCCCTTTCTTTTTATTTTAATCTTTCACCTACTTTCAGGAAATTAAATGTATAATGTATAAGAAGATATAGGTATTGAAACTAGAGGATCATTGTAGGGTCCTCAGACACATGAACAGGTTGAACATGATACTGATATTTCAGCTATTTCAACTACACAAAAAAATCAGGGACATTAGTGAGGCAAACCTTAAGTGGATCATCAAGAGGAGATTTAGATGATGGTGAACTTGAAGGAGATACTGAAACCACTGAAAACATGGATCCGACTGATGCAAAGCATGCAATGAGGTAATCATTTTTGTATTGTTTTGTTGTATCATTGATTTTGAGGTGTTTGAAATGTTATCTGTTCCGTTTTTATTATCTTTTGCTTAGCATGTTTACTTTTTTTCCCTTATCCTAATTAAAGTGGTATATCTTCTCTTTTAATCTTTGAGTAATAGCAGGGGAAAAACTCTCAAGGAAATAGAACTTAAGCTTATCCCTTACCTTACTACCAGATGTGTTAATTAATAAATTCTTACTGAACTCACTTTTTATTTTGCTGACACCATCACAAAGTTTCCCTTAACTAATCGGTATTTTGGTGATGCCTTAGAATGCGGTCAAATAGAGAATCAGCTAGGCGCTCTAGAAGAAAACAAGCACATATGAATGAACTTGAAGAACATGTTTAGTTCTTGATGTTGTTTTAAAGTAATAGCCTTGCGGATTAGATTCGCACTACTAGTGCAATTAACATTTGTGAACGATCATATGGTTAGTGTCTCTAGACTTAGAACTAATGGGGTCAAAGATTTCAATTTTGTATATCAAGCATAGGACGATCCTGTGCATGAGTACGTTTTGATGTTTTAGTACAGGTTTTGTTCTCAATCTGGTCTAGGTATAAAAACGATACATAAGTTATTTGTCTTAGTTGTAGTAGAGATAAAACCATACATAAGTTCAAAATTTTAATCATGGTGAATTTATAAACTTAAAGGTTTACATTCAAATTCCTTAGTTGTTTACCGGTTCTTGCTTTCCTACTTGAAAGAAAAGTGAGGAGTTTGTTTTGCCTGTTATCTGCCTAATTATATCCATGCCATTTATTATTTTTCAGGATCAAAAGCTTGAAGAACCAGTTGATGTGTATAAGCTGCTAGGGAAATCTGTGAATTCCAAAAAGTAGGATATATGGTTTGAATTACCCAAAGCTTTTAACTCTAAGCCTGAGAATTGATGTCTAGTGGGTACGAGTAAATATCTTATCATGTTTTTTCTTCTAGTTTATGTTCTTGTAATATATTGTTTCTGAATCCATTGTTTTCATTGTTGTTTGAATTGAAGGTACATTCCTGATTAAAAGAATAAACTGAAGTTGCAGATCAATACAAATTGCCACTAGAAGATTGTTTTTATTCTAGTGAACAATGTTTTTTTAATTGAAAGAGAAAGAACCTAGACTAAATTCTAGTGAACAATGTTGAACTATGTTTCATTTTAATTTTATTTTATAAATTTTGATTTATTTTTCTACATAATTTGTGTCGTAATAAATTTTAAGTTTATTGTTATTAGATAATGCTATAGAATAGTAAATTTACGTAATATAAAGAAGAAAATGAAATATGCGAAATTAGTTAACCATAGCAGCATTTGTAAATAAAAGTCACCAGAAGTCAGGTTCTTTTGCGGCGTTTTGTGAATGAAATGCCACTATGACCACACATTTGTGGCGTTGGTAAAAACCACAATATACATAGTTAATAGCGGCGTTTTTTACCACAAACGCCGCTAAATATCATAACACGTATCGGCGTTTTAGAAAGTAAACACCACTAAAGACAAAGTAATTAGCGGCGTTTTTTATAAAAAAGGCCACTATAGATCATGACCTTTTGTGGCGTTTTCCTTAAAACCCCCGCTATATAAGTGGAGATTTTGCGTCCTTTTTTGGTCACAAATATTGCTACCTTTTGCGGCGTTTTTAATACGTCGAGAAAGTTTTTAGCGGCACATAAAAACGCCGTTATAGAGCTAAAAAAAGCAATAAAAACCTATTTTGTTGTGGTATAAGGAGAAAAATTCTCATTAAGAATAGGAGTTAAAAGTTTTCAGCTGGTATATCCTTTCTTTCTTATAAGTTGTGGGTTCAATACCCATTAAGAGTAAAAATTTACATACCCCTTCCCATGTTAGAAAAAAAAAGTTGCCATTATCACGTGCCTTAGCCTTTAAGCACCAGTTTAATAGTTAGGCGTTTGCCAACCTTATGCATTCTAGTTGTGTTTTTTGTTTTAAATATATAACTTTTCCTTCAAATAAAAGATTCTAACATATTTGTCGGATTAATTCCATAACCAAATAAGTTCACAGTTCACAAGACATTATGTAGTGGAGAATGAATATTGTGCAACAATTCCTCACTTTAATGTGACAAAGTAAATTTGCATTGGGTTTCAAAAAACATACATATAATATTAGAACAAAAAGAGCTAAATTGTTTCTATCCCAGATTTATTAACCCGAGAAACCATGTATATGTCCATGCACCAACTACTTGACTGTAATTATTATAGTATCACCAAAACCCTAAGAAAAATAAAGCCAACCCGAAGAATTTATTGAAAATTTCCTTTAGCTTTATTAGATTTTTCTACATTAATATAATTATTAGTATTTCATTTATCAAGGCTAAATGTGAAGAACACGAAAAGGTACCATACACAGCTAGCCCTCGGTTCATCCCTTTTTCAGTGCTCTGAACATTGTATATAAAGAGCCCTTCGTTGAGTCGTTTCTTCAACCATTCCTTCAAACCCCATTCTCTTATTCAAGGGAGACTTATTATCTTTCCATCATTCTAATTAAGGTTAATACTTAGAATTTCAGATCTCAATGTTTTTCTTTCGGACATCGCATTGGCCGCTGAGTTAAAATGTTTTTGTTTTGAATTTTATTCTAAAGATGAACAGGTTAGGAGACTGGAACTGCAGGTCATGCCAGCACCTCAACTTCCAAAGGAGGGAATCGTGCCAACGCTGTGGGGAATTCCGGTCAGCTGATCACTTCGGTGGGAGGGGTGGCTCCTCCTTTGGATTCACCACCGGCTCCGACGTCCGACCAGGTGACTGGTACTGCACTGCGGGAAACTGTGGAACCCATAACTTTGCTAGCCGTTCTAGCTGCTTCAAATGCGGTGCATTCAAGGACGACTCTGCCGGAGGGTTTGATGGCGACGTTCTGCGTTCAAGAGGAGTTGGTGGAGGTAATCGATCCGGGTGGAAATCCGGCGACTGGATATGTACCAGGTGAATTCTCGGTAAACATATTTGTATAATAAAGTGATATGTATAGATATCCGTGTCTACGTGTGCATGTTAATGGCCGGCTTTCTTTTCCACACTATAGTTTCTTTCGACTGCTTTTGAAAGCAGTTCATATTTGAAGTGGTGATTCAACCTTTTTTTTTTGTACCAAAAGACATATACATTTAGTGGTTGAATGCAGGTCGGGATGCAATGAGCACAACTTTGCAAGCCGAATGGAATGTTTCAGATGCAGTGCCCCAAGAGGCTTCAGCAATAGAACTTCCTACTAAAAACACGATCAAGTTTTGGGTACACTTTCTTCAATGATTATTCCTTATTAACCTTAGTTTTTCATGCAATTTGATTAAAAATCTCATTAATATATGTGGCTCTTGACTTGATTTTTTAGGCGTTGCAAACCATGAGAGACTAAAATGAGAGAATATTATAGCTGTCTTCCTCTTTCTTGATTATATTGCTTTGGGGTCTGCTAGAATTCCTAAAGGGTGAAGAAAACATGGTGTAAAAGCCCTTTGTTTTGATCACCACTTGAAGCCATTTTCCCATGTTTCCCCCCATAAGAGTTACAACTATGTATTACTTTTTGTGATGATGATGCTTTCGATATATCGTTTTTGTTGCTTATTATTATTATTATTATTTTATTAGAGAGAGTTTATTTTACATCTATTGTAATGCTTGGCTTTCTTAAAAGAAGATGATTCTCTTCTCTTTTTCCATCACTATGCATTAACTTTAGTCATAAATAATTTATTTTATATGTTTTCAATTTTGTCTTTAAAAGATTTTAATTAATCATGATTACCAAGTACAAGTGTTTTCGAAATTAAAAAAAGAAGAAGATAACATCAATGATGTGATTAGCTGATAGGAATAACAAGTCTATATAAAAAAAAAACAGAGGATTCAAGGCTGCTTTCGAACAGGATTTTGTGTTGGTTTTTTTTAAATGGTTTGGAAAAGTGATTTCAACATCGCTATGCTATGATGAGTGTATAATATATGTAAGGGTCAACATTATTTAGGTCAGAATTGCTGGAATACTTATAACCAATCTCTACTAAAACAAAATCTAAATACGGTTTGTGAAGTTTTACATGTGACTTGGTAAACATATTTGAAAAACAATTATTTTTAATTCAGCGGGTTAAAACATTGTTACACATTCTTATATTATATTTAATAATATAAAAATATACATGTCAGTACGTATGGGTGAAGATATGTTTTGGATAGGTGTGTCAAAACGATATCTTTTTTATATGAAATATTAAAATAAAATTAATACTATCACTTCGAAAGAATATCGTTCTAAAAGGTGATCGACACTCTTTGAAAGGAATTAACGCCTACTATTTATCTCCAATCTCCATCTATCTAAAAAAATATAGGGTAAATTACACATTTAGTACAAAAACTATTACTTTTGTCATGTTTTAGTACTTAAACTTTCATTTGTTTTATAATCATAACTAACGTTTACTTTTTGTTTCATTTTGGTACATCGCCATTAAAAACTTAGCAGAATCGTTGGCACTTTTTTATCGGTAAATTACATCATTCATCAGTCAACTATCTTCTCACTCCTATTTTGGTCATTACAATTTAACTTTTTTAAATTTAATTTCTTAACTTTCAAATTACTCCTAATTTAATCATTCTAACTTTCAAATTTATTGTTTCAAATTATTAGAGTGGTTAAAATAAAAGTATTAATAAAATAAATTAGAGTGGTTAAGACATGAGCAATTTGAAATTTGAGTAGTTAAATTGAAATATTTTAAACTTTAGTGACCAAAATAGGAGTGAGAAGATAGTTGAGTGATTAATGATGTAATTTACCTATAAAAAATTTCACGCGTGTGTGGCCGTTCGTTAAGTTTTAACGGCGAGGTACCAAAATGGAAAAAAAGTAAACATTATATATGATTTTGAAGCAAATAAAAGTGTAGGTACTAAAATGGGACAAAAATAATAGTTTAGGTACTAAATATGTAGTTTACCCTAAAATTATTTTATGCTTTTTTAAAATTTTAACACCTTATATATTTTTTACTGTCTTTGTGGAAATGAGTGTTTAAATCCGTTTATATATTAAAATTTTATTATATCAATATATATGAGAGACAGTTGTGGTCGTGCAAAAAGCCATGTCTATTAAAAACATTGGATTCCCTTTTATTATATCTCAAAATGTTTTCATGCACTCCAACAATCTATTCATTAACGTTGTAGCTTTCTTTTCCCTCCTAATCAATAAAGTACATGGCAATAGAACAAAGGGTAAACTACACGTTTAGCATGTTATTCATTTTTTGTTTTGATACTCAAATTTATTTTTTATTTTTTCAAAATCATAATAACATTTAGTTCAAGTTTCTTATTCACCCGTTAAAAAATTGACAGAACTACTGACGTGAAATTTTATTTATTTTTAATGGTGACGTAACATTATCTTATAACAACACATCAACATCAATATTAAATTATTAACGACGAAATACTAAAATAAAGCTTAAACCAAACATTATGTATGATTTTAAAAAAAGATAAAATTTAAATACCAAAATAAAATAAAAGTAATAAACATTTAATTGATCCTAAAATAAAAAAAGATATCCCATATACATGTTGGGCCTAAACACCCAGTTCGAATGAATTTGCTGGTACAAACATGACATTTTATAATACTTTTTCGACCGTGATTAAGTTATAATTTAATAAAAAAATTAAAAATTAAAAATTTATATTTATATTCCTCGATACTCCGTGGCTGATCCAAGACAACTTCTTCTCTGAAACTTGCAACTTCAATTTTTACAAACTACTGAAGGTTTCGTCTTAAAATTCTTGTACA